ATAAAAAATAAAAAAAGAGGTTCCTGAAAAAAAAAAAAATCCCGTTTGAAGAAGAAGAAGAAGAAGAAGAAGAAGAATAAGAAGAAGATGAAAGACCGATTTCCAAAAATTTGACCACTCGACAACGATTTGTGGAAATTCGACCTCTCCGACAACAATTTGTGGAAATCGTTAAATTCGACCTCTTCGGCAAGAAAAATTCGACCTCACCTGCTCCTTTCCTCAAGGTTTGGTTTTTTTTGAAACCCTAGTTTCCTCAAGGTGCGATTTTTAGGGTTTGGTTTGTGTTTTTGTTTTTGAGCTCCGTCTATTCCTCTTCTGCTATGTTTTTGTCTTGTGTTATGGAGTTGACGAAGAGAGTTTGAAATGTGTTTTGTACCTATTGTTTGAAATGTGTTGTGTACTTATTTTGGAAGAAATGTATACATATACATTTGACGAATGACGAACAAAATATGATTGTCACTTATTTCACCTACATGCTCGAACAAGATAAGACGTCACTTATTTCTTCAAGACTGTGTCATTTCGTCCCAGCTATTGATTAGTTGAATTCGCTGATTTTTATTTTCAAGTTGTTGCATTTTCTCTCAACAGTTCCTAGCTTGATTGTTAGTATTTTTTATGGTGACGTCACTTATTTCTTCAAGACTGTGTCATTTCGTCCCAACTATTGATTAGTTGAATTCATATATATATATATTTTCAAGTTGTTGCATTTTCTCTCAACAGTTCCTAGCTTGATTGTTAGTACTTTTTATGGTGACGTCACTTATTCATTCAAGACTGTGTCATTTCTTCCCAGCTATTGATTAGTTGAATTCATTGATTTTTATTTTCAAGTTGTTGCATTTTCTCTCAACTGTTACTAGCTTGATTGTTAGTATTTTTGATGGTGTTATGGGATGGTTCTCTTACTTTTCCCTTTTCTTCTCTTGCTTTAGATTAGGAAAAATTATATTGCTTTTGTTTTGTGGACTGATCCTGTTTATTATGGATGTGTTCATCCAAACATTAGAAGTGCAGTTTGATTTAAATTCTTGGATGTTAATTATGGATTGTGGAGTTAGTTCCTTTCTTCAATGATCAAGAGTTATGTTCACACTTCCATTTACAACAAATCTGCATTTTCCCATTCGTATGATGTGATTTAAATATGATTTTCCCCTTCAAGAGCTCATATTTTTCCGGTAGAGTTTTGTTTCTATAGATCCACAATCCAGTCTCTAGCAAACACAATATGCTTAAAATTTCATGTCTATAATTCTTCTATCAATTCAATCTCTTGTTTTTGTATTTTGTTTTCTATTGTTTTGACCAATCCCTTACCCATTTAGCCCTTGAAATTTTATTGTTTTGTTGCACTTATCTATTCTGCCATTAGTTCACCCTTGCCGGATTATGTTCCAACCGTTTCCGACAACTTCAGTGCAAATGTAGTTGTTGATGGTAGCACTTTCAATTTTGGGCTGTGGGATACTGCCGGTAGCTCTTTGGTTACATTTTCATTTTTATTTTTTTCCTTTGTGTGATTTTGCGGGGAATTTTGAGATGGGCTTTAATTCTTTATCAATTTGAGGTTACGTTTTGATTCTCAGGTCAAGAGGATTACAATAGATTAAGGCCCTTGAGCCATCGTGGAGCGGATGTTTTCCTTCTTGCTTTCTCACTCATTAGCAAGGCCAGCTACGAAAACATTGCAAAGAAGGTTAGAGCTTTCTAGATGGCTAAATGGTCCCACAAATTGAGAATATCTTGTTTGACATCCATTTTTGCATTCCATTTTTGCTATCTACTTGTCTGAGTTTTTCGGTTTTGTTCAGTGGATTCCAGAATTAAGGCATTATGCTCCGGGTGTTCCTATAATTCTTGTTGGGACAAAGCTTGGTAAGACTTTTTTTTTTCCTTTTTCTTTCCTTTTTTTTCTTTTGATGTTGCTATACCATCAATTGTTCACTCTCTGTTGTATCAGTTTGCAATTCTATTTTTTTTTTTTTTTATTTCTGAATAAATGTTGATTTGCTTTACAAATTTTTACTCCTTTTAAACCATTCTGAAATATGAATCTCATTGAAATTGAAAAAGTTTCGTTCGAGCAACCCCCGCACGGAGGCAAGGGAAGCTCCCTCCCGGCCTCAGTCAAGTCGATGGAAGACCCTCGCCTACTTAAATGCAGACGTTCTCCCTGAATATGTGATTGTGAATTGGTCGATAGAAGGGTTTGAATTTTTCTAAGGATGTCTGCAAGAACTAAAAAAATGTTAAGTCCTTCACAGTTTTATTGTTTTCGATTGTCTACCTCTGTATTGGAAGTAAGTATATTTTGGATTTTTAGTTTGACTTGTAAACACGAACTTAAAACATGCCTGCAACTAATTTACTAAACACACTCTTTCAACTTATAGAACTTTTGACTTCGTATCTTCATCCTCTCAAGTCTCAACTTCATAATCTCGTTTTTTTTCTTTATACACAACAAAGTACTTCCCCTTAAAACTAGTGCTTTTTGCTAGCACTTGGATAATCCTTTCTTGAAAAAAAGTAATAAAATAAATACTATTTTAAAGCACATTGATTTGCATTGGCTTAAAGATTGACTTACCTCAACCTATCGAGAGGTGTAGGGAGAAGGATTATTCGGTGGTGACCGTGAAGTGTAAGGATAGGTCGAACCTTATGTTTGATAGTGTGTGCACGCTTACCACCGTGCAGTATGTTGTTTTCCGTACAACTATCTTGTCTGACGGACCTTACGCCTCGCAGGTCGTTTTCAGATCTTCTTGTTTGTTCTTTTTCTTTTTTTTTTTTTTTCTCTGAAATGAAAAATATGAAGTGGGTTCATTAGAATAGTTAGACCTACTTGTGTGTTATTTTTCTCTTTTCGAAATGAAAATATGAAGTGGGTTCAATAGAGCATCTCCAGTAGCGCACTGTAGCGTATTACGTTAGAGTAGAGACAAAATTGCTCTCCAATGCTGCGCTACATCTCTGCACTACTCTAGAGTTATGAACAGTATCGCACTACATCTGACGCGATATATTCATTACTCTACAATTTTTATTTGTTTTTTATTTTTTTATTATATGCAATTGATTTATCTTAAAATTCATTATTTGACAAAGTTTTTACCATTAAATTTATAATTTAATTTGATAATTATATAAAAATATTATTATAAAAAATATAATTTATATTGAATTACTATAAAATAAAGGGTTAATTGCTATAAAAACCTTAACCTTTTTGCGTTTGGCAATTTTATCCCAATCTTTGGGTAATTGCAATATAATCTCGACCTCAGTTTACTTGTTGCAAATTTGGGTGCAGAGTGATTGATTTTAGGGATTTGTGGATCGATTTTGTGTCCAAGTCGTCCATTGATACAGGTTTTTATGCCATTCACGTAGCAAGTTGACAATTTCCACGTATTTAATGTATATCCACGCACAAAGCCGAAAATTCCACGTCAATGTAAGCTACTGGGGATGAGTCTCCTCCTAGATCTGGAGTGAACCGGTAAATATGAGCTCCGATCTATTCAAACCGCCTTCAAATCGACCAGTTTTTTGAAGGTCCAACCAGTTTTAGGTTTGAGTTGCAATAAGTAAATTGAGGTCGAGATTATATTGCAATTACCTAAAGATTGGGATATAATTGTCAAACGCAAAAAGGTTAAGGTTTATTTAGCAATTAACCCAAAATAAATAAAATTTTATATAAAAATAAAAATCTTTTGTGGAACAATATTTTGAAAACCAACTAATATCATGATATATCTTATTTTATTAAATAATATTTTGATATATTAAATAAATTAAAATAATATGAATAATATATGTGGAGTAGAATGTAGCGCGAACGGTTGGAGACCGAATTTTATTTTTGGTTAACTCAACTCTAGAGTAGAGTAAACTTTGCACTACAGTAGAGATAAAGACTGGAGATGGTGATAGAACAGTTGCAGATCTTCTTGTGTGTTCTTTTTCTCTTTTTGAAATAAAAAATATGAAGTGGGTTCTTGTTAGAATAGTTGGACATGGATTGTTAAGTTAATACAAATTCTAAGGAGATTGAGTTTGCCCAAGTATAAGTAGCAAGATGAGATAGAAAATATTTGAAGTGTTGTTTTATTTGAACAGAGCTTGGAAACTACTTTTCTTGATTGCTTGCATAATATTTGAAATGTAGTGGTTATTTTATGTGACTTGGGGTGGTTTTTGAATTTAGTAAGAATATTACATACGTCGCATGGATGAGTGCACACTAGAGACGGAAGCAAAGAAAGAGAAGGTCATCAAGTGTCTCGAGGCAACAATTAGATGCCGAGTGAGTGGAGGTAATGAAAATGATCCACTGTACTTTTTTTCATTTTTCACAAAGTGTAGTTGAAGAAAATTATTATCTTTCTTTCATATAAATATTCATCTGAAATCCATTTGTTTTCGAAATCGCATCGTCAGTAAGGGCTATTTGTTTTAAAAAATAAAAACCTAAACGAGACATTTATGACATGCGAATCGTATCTTTTGTAATTCTGAAGTCAAATTAATTCATTTTACAAATCGGCTGCACATCAGGGGTAACTTTGTATTTCGCAAAAACTACCGTGTTATGTGAGAGATTTTTTTGTTGAAAATGTTACGAGAAAGCCAGACATAGAATTTATACGAGACCTCAAAAAGAAAAAAAAAATTGCAAAATTCTTATGAATTGCAATTCCATGTTCGAAAAATATAGTACAAGGCCTAAGCCTGGAACAATGCGCAAAGGATCGTATGGGCGTCCTATCCGAAGTTATGTAAATTTTACGAGAGAACAGGCTTTCTGTCATGAGGGTAGGAGTCTCGAATGTGGGCGAAAAAGCCATGAATGTATTCTATGTGAGAGGTGCTTCGGAAAATTCCATGGATGCAAAAACTATCGAGGACCTACGCAAGAAAATTGGGCAGACAGAGGCTCAACGTGAAAAATGCCCCTAACGATGCAAAAACGCTCGAGACCAGTGGATGGGCGAAAACAAGGTTCTTCAAGAGCCTGCTGGAGAAGTTTTGGGCTTGAGTTTTACTGGACTTTGTGTGTCTTCTGATGTTTGTGGTTTGAGAAGCCTTGTGTAGTAGAGCTTTGTGTATGTGGATGAATGGGTCTGAGTAAACATTGAAAACATTGAATTGTACAAATCAAGTAAACAATAAGTTGTCATAAAATGTTGGGAAATTTTATATAATGGAGTAGTAATTTTCACTAGCTCTGTTATTCAACTAATTAAAAGTTGGGCCAAACGAATAACTCATTTTTTTGAGTAGTTAATAAGTTTGTCAAGGATCAAGTAAACCTGTTAATACCTAATTTTGGCCTCGCCTATTAAAATATTACACGTGGATACGTATTATATCAATTGTTTTATTTTAGGGCCCACAAATAACACCGCTTGTAATAATAACGGGCCCACCAAAAATATATATATAAACCCAATGATGGACGTCAGACATATAGGTCTGAGAGGCTATTATTACTTTTTCTTTTCTTGGCCTCTTTCTGTTTCCTTTCAACAGAATCTTCTAACAAGATTATTCAATCTTTTACATAAAAAATCATCAAACAATATACAGAAATCCAACATATTCTATATATACAAACAATTTCTTTGAATATCCCATGTTGATACAAAATCGCATATCAATAATTTGGCGCTAGAAGGAGGGCCCGTAATTTGTTCGGGTTAAGCTTCGCCGAAAAAATGGCCTCTTATCTGCCGAAAAACACCACCCCAAGTTAAGCAAGATGACTCAAAATTTTATTATGTTTTGTTCATTACTTTGATTTATGAATATACCCAGTTTCAGTGAGTTTTCTTTCTGTGCACAAGTGTTCTTGGAAGATGAGAACAGAAAAGAGATAATGCCACCTTTTGTTTGTGGACAATAGTTGGCCACATTTTGGCTACGTCGCCCTTATTCAAACAAAAA